GTCCAACAGGGGCAGGAAGGTCATTAAAACAAGATGCTTCCTAGCACTGAAAGAAAAACACGATCTATTTCTAAAGAAAAAAAAACTAATTTTACCTTTTAACTTCTTAACGTTTTCAATTTGCAAATTCAATGAAAGTTTATTGTCAATTTCTATGCTAAGGTATTTATATGTCTCAATATACTCTATTGGCATGCCAGTCAATGTTTTTATAGGGGGCAAAGGAACTTTCTTCTTGTAGGCAAACAACATGACTTTTGTCTTTACAGCATCTAGGACTAATTTCAGCTGAAGCAAGTCCGTTTGAATAATATCAAATGCAGACTGAAGATGTCTGAACATAACAGTTACAGATTTTGCATTGGAATAAACTACAGTGTCATCAGCATAAAAATGTGTACAAGTATCATTTATTTTATCTCCGACACTGTTTACATAAATTAAAAACAGAGTAGGACCCAAAACTGAGCCCTGTGGTACACCCTATGTGATATTTAAATAATCAGATGACAAACCACTGTGTTGCACACATTGGCTACGATTTAACAGATAATTAGAAAAACAACTTACAGCATTATCTGATCAATAGCTGACAGCTTTTGACAAAGAATAGTACGGTCAACTGTGTCAAATGCCTTAGACAGGTCAATAAAAAGAGCAGCACAGTAGTGATCCAAAGCTTCAGTGATGTCATTTACAACTTTTATGGAGGCTGTAACTGTACAGTGCTGTTTCCTAAAACCAGACTGATGACATGACAGGATATAAGCTGTCTGCAAATAATCTTTAAGCTGAATATTAACTAGTTTTTCAAAAACCTTGGATAAAATACAAAGTTTTGTTGGATTTAATCCAGTCTGTCACCTCATTTTAAATAATAACTTCTAGCTCAGCAGGTATTAGATGTGAGAAGTAAAAAAGCAAACAAACTAACCATGTATTAACCTGTTTCCTTAAGGTACACTTTGTGTGTGCAACATTTTCTGCATGAATTAACTCACAAGAACAGCTAGGACAAAAAGATAACATTTGTATTTTATTTCTGTTATAATAAAAGAGTGGGTCTTTTGATGCTCAGAAATAATAATTTCTGGTTTGCATGCAGTGATTGATCAAAAGGTAACAACAGCACAGTTCCTTCCTGCTTCATTTAATTCATGCAAACACTGACATCACACTTTTCAGAAGACCAGCTCTTACCTCACTGTGTTCCTGGCCAGGTGGCTGTTCTTCAAGAGGAGCGGAACAGCTTGTTGGCTGAGAATGATGTCCTAACAGACCAAGCCAATCAGCAGGATACATTTGAAGACCCAAGCACAGATTCAGGCTGGAAACAGAGTCACTTACAACAACAACTTGAGACTCTGCAGGAAGAGAATTTCAGGTTTTTTCACTTTCATCATGAATTCACTTTACGTTTTAAGGTAAAGATCTGGTAAAGGCTGATGAGGATGTGCTGCTTCTAGGCTGGAGGCAGCCAAAGATGATTACCGGATCCACTGTGAGGAGCTGGAGAAGCAGCTGATTGAGCTTCAGCACCGTAATGATGAGCTCACCAGCTTAGCAGAGGAGTCACGGGCTCTCAAAGATGAGCTGGACGTTCTGAGGTTTGTATCCAAACTTTGTTATATTATTAAACCTTTATTTTAACAGGTAAGTCAATTGAGAACCAATTCTCATTTACAATGACGAACTGGTTAAGAGGCAACACTACAACATAACATAAAATGTCAGAACATGTTCAAGTGTTGTAGTCTTTTCAAGAAGACATTATCTTTCAATAAAGAGTACAAAACTAAACTTATTTAGTTTAAAAACCTCTTGCCTTCTCTTTTTACCCCTGACAATAAATTTTTTGCCCAGGATGAGGTAGGTAAATATTGTCCAGTATAAAGCTCAGACAGTGTTAACACATTCTCATGTCGGACTTGTCAACATATTGACGCTTGGGCAGTTGACCATCTGCGTCCAGTTTTGACACCTTGGGTACCCCCCCGCGCGTCYGTCCTTGCCGCCCGCGGCTTTTCCGTGTTGCGTCACTTAGGGGTCTTTGGGTCGGGGGTCTGAGGTTAACATGAGGGATCAGGATTAATGGTTAATTTGAGATACTGGGGTCAGGGATAGGCTGTATATAGCTAATATATGTTAAATTTAGGGTCTGGGATGGTTAGTTTCGYGCATTTCCTACTCTTGTAAAAAAATATGACAACGCGCTTGTCCTCCTCTGCCTCATCTCGTAAAGAACGGATGCGCGGGGGCTACCCGGCGCATCCGAAAGTGGACGCAGATGGACGGCTACCTGACCAAGTGTCAATATGTTGACACGGGGGGCATGAGAATGCGCTGAAGGTGTTTACTGATGCATCTCAGGAATCCAGCTGAAAAAAAAACATCCATCATTAAACAGGGGCGGAACCCTTTGTGTCCAGTTGTCCCCCTCTTACAATGCTGTTATTTCAAGTATGACTCCGCCCCCTGTGAGCAATCGGGATATTCAGGGCACTAATGATTAGGAATACATCGATACAGAAAATTCACGATTCGGTTCGGTTCTATGCTTTTGTCTCACGATTCAATATTTTTTCGATACAAAAAGAGAAATGTTCTTGCCCTTCTTAACTTGTAGTTTTATTGAAATTATTTATGAACATTTGTTTATTCTTAAAAGTCCAGTTTTAACCAACCAAACCAATCTAACCAAATATTGCTGAAAGAGCAAGTTTCTCAGTAGATCTGTGCTCCACAATGCAGCCTAGGTGGAGTAGTTGAACACAGATCCACTGAGACGTCAACAGAGAGCATCTGAAGATGATAAAATAAATTTTAATAAACCATATTTTTCGATACATAGTATTGAACCTAAAACAATCTGTTGAACGGTTCGATACAGATACAGGTATTGTTGCACCCCTACTAACAATCTATTGTTAGGCTGAGGGTCGTCTGTTACAAATGAACAGTTTTGATTGTTCTACCCTGATTCACTAGACAATTTCCAAAAAGCGCAAATCYGCTAATTGCRGACCTAAATATTTCGTTTGCGCTTCAGCGGTTTTACAAATTTTTATTTTTCATAAGCGGATTTGTGCTTTCTAAAATTAAAATGCAGTACCGCTAATAACTAATTATCTACCAGTCATCATTAGCTTGAACAGCAGAAGGTATGACTGACAATGAATCACAACACATGATCTATCCAACAGCACCCCTCCCAGATAAACACACTTATTGTGAAGGTATACATCCTTGCTGACTGTTGTTTTCGGTCATGGTTTTCATTTCCCACAATGCTTTGTGTCTGCTTACATAGCAGGAAGGCAATATTTAGTACTCCCTTTCCCAGCAAAAACAGTTAATGTTTGTAATCATACTAAAATTTTGTATGTATTGATTTATTTTACTTTACAATCAGAGCTTCTTTTTTTAAAAAAAATGAAGTTTAAACGCTGGAGCTCAATATTTGACGTAATTGGTTGAAGTAATCGGCCAACGGGGTTAGACAGACATCTAGTGGTCAACTGGAGCAACTACATGGAAAAATTTAAAATCCAAGCTCTTATTTTGAAGTTTGCAGATAGTTCCCTGTACTCCATGCTTTCGTTTCCCATCGCAAATCAAATGTGTCATGTACCCAGAATGCATCGCTTCAGTTTTCCAATAAACAGTTTTAAAATTACTTAATTGATGCTTCTTTAATGAAAAATMTACAATAAACAAAAGAAAAAGACAAAGAATCAGCTGAACTAGCAATCCTCAACAACTTATTAATTTTTACACCAGGAGCCAAAGGTCTGTTTCAGGAAATCACATCCCCAAYAATCGACGGTTGTAGGATTAAGTTGTATAAGAGTTCATACACCACTAGTTGGTAGTGTTGTGCATATATTGTACATGAATTGTTGCCAGCTAGTCAAGGCCGGATTAACCATATGGGCAATTGGGCAATTGCCCAGGGGCCCACGGTCTCAAAAGGGCCCTGGGCAGTGAAGGCACGGACACAACGGATGTGGGATATGCGTGAGACATGTCTCCCTGAGTCCCCGCACTTCTTGCATCTGTGCTCAATGTCCCCGCACTTTTCTCAGCCGTWACAGCTGTTTTATCCATTATTAACATATGGTAATGCGTTTTCCTGAGCCGTCTTTGAACGCACCATAAGCGTGCGCAAGCTACT